CCCACACCCACACCCACACCCACACCCACACCCACACCCACACCCACACCCACACCCACACCCACACCCACACCACACCCACCCACACTCATACCCACACCCCACATCCACATCCACATCCACACCCACCCCACCCTGTTCGTTTCGTAGTATAATTTTTTGAAGTTCACACTCAAATGAAAAACAACAAGTACAGCGTCTTTCAGTTTCTTGCTTTTCTGTATCTGAGAAATAAGATAAATATTTCAGATTTTCTAAAATTTCTATGTACTTCGAACAGTTATTATGTTAAAAATTATCAATTTTCATATCATCGCGGAGAAAAGTTTTTTTCTACCTCATGTTAATGTAAGTTTTATCTATTGAAGAACTAGATAGAAATCTGAATGCATTTTTAGAATAACCGTTTTCTGTTAATTTTGTGGATAATTAAATCTTCTAATTGGTATTAAACGAAATTTATCATTGCTTGTGATCGTCTGTTTGTGAAAAATGCCACTAACGTTCGATCATATATGAATGAATATCGACGTGTGTAACCCATTTGAAATGTATTTCTTTTTACAAATAAGGTTTTCTTTTCTTTTTTTGTCATCATTCTTCGTCTACTCTCCATGTTGTAAATTTTACTGTTATCATGGGCAGTCCTCTTAAAGAAAGTCTAAGTTGACAAAAATTCAAAAAAAAACGACGCAGAAAGAAGAAAGATAAGATATGTAAAGTGTTTTTATTGTGCACAGCTAACAAAAGAGTCCTTCGACAAACACACAGGCCGTCTCGCATACACAACACTCAACAAAGTTGGAAAATTTTGTTTTAATTATTACATCCTGGTAAGTAACGTATTATAATGATTCTTGTATAAATCTTCGAGTTTATTCAATATCATAAAAATAACGGACGTATGACTGGAATATTAGTTTTAAAAAAGTGGAACAGAAATGACTCTAATACCCATGACAAAGTTTCGTTTATCGAATTGGCTGATGATTTTTTTCTAAGTCAGAGGCCTAGGGTGCAATGTGGGTGTAGGTGGGGTGGGTGTAGGTGTGGAATGTGAGTGAAAGTATTCTTTATTTTTATACGAGCATCCACATCCTCATCCCATCCAATATATGGGACTGTTCTGTATTAGTCTGAGACATCTAGAAATGATGCGTGTGGGTGAATGTGGGTTGGTCGGCGAATGACTGAGCGAGAGTATGGATGGATATAATACCCTGCGGAAACTCACGATCACACCCATATCAAAACTCTCACCTCATACCCTAATTGACTTTTAAGTGAAAAAGCTGTTAGCGCAATCTCTGCAGGATTAAAATGTGAAACACGATATACTCATTGTTGCTAATCGCCTAAAAACTATTGTCCACTTCAGAGATAAATGGCCGTGGTGATTTTTTGAATAGCTATTGAACGGCTACGACCATCAAGCTGGAGTTGTGCAGTTGAAAAGAGCGTACTCTGAGGCGTATTTTAGTACGATTCATTTCAGTCCACATGCACTTTTTGACGACTGTCCATACGTCGATATGTTGTGTTTGTCTTTTTTCAACGAATTTTTCGACATTTTCACTTCCATTATACCAAATTATAGCCGGAATTTCGTTGTATATATGGTAAAATTTTGACATCTTCATGTCGTCTTTTTGGTCTCTTTTCTTCAACAAGGTCACTTTGATCTATGGTAATTTTACCATATATACAACGGAATTCCGGCTATAATTTGGTACAATGGGAGTTAGAACATTGAAAAAAATCGTTGAAAAAAGACAAAAAAAACATATCGACGTATAAATAGTCATCAAAAGGTGTCAATGGACTGAAATGAATCGTACTAAAATACACCTCAGAGTTCGCTCTTTCCAACTGCACAATTCCGAGCTAGACAGCTTTTGCCGATTAAAAGTTATTCAAAAAATGGTCACAGCCATTTAACTCTGAAATGGACAATAGTCTTTGATATGTATATTGCGGCGTATTTCATCATCATTGTTTACTTTACAACTTAGAACTCCTACAAGGAAATGCTCCATCTATATTTCAATTAGATGCTAGTTATTCATCACCTGTGATAGTCCCTTGAAATGTCTGTCACGGTCTGTGATGAGTACGGAACCTATCTCTCACGGTCTGTGACGGGAGGGGGGAGTGTTGTCTGTCACGGTGTGTGGGGGAAGGAGTAGGGGGAGGGGGCTGCAAATTGCTGCACTATATACTTCAACATTCCTTTCAGATCGTGTTGCACAAGAATAATTGATTTTAATCTTATCTTTTAACGTTTTTCTTACTTGGATAGCCATTGATATCGGATGTGGGGTGTTGTTGTGATTTTGAATGTGCGTAAAAAGAAAGTCCACATATTCATTTTCACACCACAGTCACCCAGGCACGTGTGCACATCCACACCCGCATCACATACACATCCAATTATACTCATAAGATAGAAAAAAATAAATGGCGCACAAAGCAAAAATACAAATCTGTTTTTCTTGGATTCTAGGTTTAATGGCTTCGTCGACTAGTTGTTCGTACAAGAAAGCATTGGTAATCGGCATTAATAAATACATTGGTAGAACACCTGTATTGCACACATGTATAGACGATGCCACATGTTTAAGCAACACACTCTATCATATCGGTTTTGATGTATCACAAGGGAACAACTGCACATACAGCGAATTTCAACAGGAGATAGATAAATTCGTTGGAAAGATTCAGAAACAAGATTTTATTTTATTCTATTTTGCTGGTCATGGATTTCAATCAGACGATAAAAATTATTTAATATCTTCTGATTACAATTATGATCATAGCATTGATGAGAAGATGTACCTATCCCGAAATTCTATCAACGCTCAAAATATCTTGCACAAAATAACGATGATGCAACCTCATGTTATAATATTTATACTAGATTGCTGCAGAAGCAAGAAAATAAAAACCAATTTTATGCCAGGTTTATCATCGATGAGTACACCACCGGAAACTCTACTTGTCTTTTCGTGTGGTGTTGGTCAAGAAGTACTTGATGAAACACGAAATGGAAAAAATAGTATCTTTACTGAGAATTTATTAAAACATATCACGACGCCTGACGAAGACATTGAGTCATTGCTCATGAAAGTTACCCGTGACGTTCGAGATGCAACAGGTGGTTATCAAATACCGTATCGTCAAACCTGTCTTACGGACAAAATCTTCTTGGCAAAAAACATGTCACTCGGTAAAGTAGTGTTTCATTCCATCTTCCGAGAGGATCAAATCAGAGAATTTCATTCCGTTCGAGTTCATGAAGTGTAGTATCTTTTAGACGAAATTTCATCTAGTAGATCCGAATCCGTTTCGTTAAAACTCGAATAGTGCACAATTCACAATGCTGCGAATGTTAGCTCTAATATGCATAGAACGAAAGAGACAAGCAGTGTCACTGATGTTATGTGACAGAACGATGAAAAAGATGACCTTCGTGGGAATCGAACCCACACCTCCTGCTATCCGGGCAGTTGTCCTAAGCCAATTAG